CCGATCTTTCCCTTCCCCTTTTCTTTTCTTCTTCGATTTTTCTCAAAAGTCGAAAAGCCGAAAAACTGGTCGACTAATCGTACCACGTAACGGGAGGGGGGAGGACGGCGAAAGTTGGCGAAGGTACGCCGCTGCTACGAGTAAATGGAGCTCGGGAAACGACGAATTGATCGCGTCCCTTTCGAGTTGGCGTTTAGAAAAAGACGCGACGAAACGTTAATCTTGCGCCGGCGACAACGTTACCTTCGGCCCTCTTTATTTTCCAACTTTCGTCTTAGCCGCATCTCCCACGGGATCGGCTTTCTTCTTCCCCCTCGGAAAATGGGTAGACCCTTGCAGAAGGCAGCGATCCATCATAAATTTAATATTCGAAATTTCAAGAATGTTCCACGCGCTTTGGGGGCCATCCGTTTCGACCGACGATATAAATTCGTCCGATAATGTACTGGGGAGTGTGTACTGCTATACGGTCGAGCGTTGGTCGAAGGGCGGAAAAAAATCGCGTTTTATTCTTGACCGTGTGTAAAAAAAGGCGAGATTTTGAAAGCATAGCACGGGAAACCATAGCAACGTGCGGGAATATATTTGTATATTTAGCAACATCCGCAAAATTTAATTATTTAGGATGAATTTATTTTCTTCGTCGAGAACATCAACGACCAAAATATTTCCTGCAACGTTTGCTTCCCTTTCTTTCGTTTTTTTTTTTTCTCTCCCTCTCCCTCTCTTTCTCTCTCTCTCTCTCCACTAGTTACGAACGTTTCCGCAGTTTCGAAGGAAAAATATTAAAATAATTCAAACGAAGCATTATAATATCTACGTTTAATAAATCAAACTGTCACGGTGGTAGATAGATATACGAATTTTCTCTTCACGGATTAGTTGTAATTTTCGAGAGCCGGGCTGCGCATTTTCCACCTGGGAGAACTGCATAAGTGGATTGTAAATTTGTTCTGTCAATACTATTATCTTTTGATTAGCGTACCTCTCTCTGGCGACATGTCGCACGCTAATTTAGCAATCCAAAGAGAGAAAGATACAGAGGCATTTCTCCGAGTTGGTAAGAGGATTATATATTCTATTCATAATCGCGCGTTAGAGATAGTTGGCGAAAAAACTTGTTGCCTTCTCGCTCCACCTTTGAACCGAAACTGTCACAGAAAGATCATCTACGATTTTCCGATATCGCTGGCCGTTGACAAGCGAGTCAGCAGCAAAGTGTTATTCCCTTTCGTGCTTCTATTAAGACGGAAGGGGGAAGGATCATGCATATGCGATGTAATTACATTTACACCTCTCATTTAATAGGTGGTACGCTCCACACAACGCTCGTACGAGTATAACATTTCCTTTCCGAAGTGTAACGGATTTCCGTATTTTTATTCGGAAACGAGAAGAGGATTTAGCGACGACAGGTAACAGGGCAAAATTCCTATCATTTTTCCAACGGTCGAAATAGCTCGAACTAGCGTGTTGCGACGCAACGCCAACGATCGAGAAAACCGCGAATAATTTCCTCCGTTCGTTCGGAACAAGCTCTTTTTTTTTCCTCCCCCCCTCCCGAATATATACGTCAATTACACCGATTTTCGCACGCGCAAATCCATGTCTGATGACACTTCGAACCGGATGGGAACATCGAACTGCACTTTGGCATCCCTATAAATTGCATCTCTGACGAGGCGCGAAAAAAAAAAAAAGAAGAAAAAAAGAAAAAAGAATAACGGGCGGGAGGGGAAAAAATCGTTGATAAATTCGCAATGTCAACATCTTGCGGTTGGAAACACGGAAACTGGTCGTCGTTCTTATCACGCGATCGATACGAAAAAGCTCTGGAAAATTTTTACTCTCTGGTAAATATCGATTATAGCTTACATCGAAAGCATAAAATAAATCCTTTCTTTCGATCTGTCGATCTTTGATCGAAGGGGAGGGAAATAAAATATTCGAAGGAGGAATAAAATATTCGAGTTTTCGCGAGTCTGAAAAAAAAAAAAAAAAAAAAAAGAAAGAAAAAGAAAAAGAAAAAAAAGAGGTCGAGGTATTGGCCGAAGCCAGAGAAGCGTGGTATAAAAGTGGCGCGAGTCGGTGCGTGTACACGCGTTTCACGTTCCATGCCGAGGAGAAAATCAGTTTAACTCCTGAACGAACCTTTGCCGCCTACCATAGCTAATCCCAGATCTGCAGGCAAGTTCACGACGGGGGTGTAAACCCGAGAATGTTGCGGCTAAGCCAACCTCCCTCCGATCCCTCCCCACCTCTCAGTCCCCCATCGGTTGGTAGCGTTGGGTACGATACCTGGTGCGAGTCTAGGCCAACCTCTAGCTTATCCCGACGACGAGGACGACGACGACGACACTCGTTCGATACCGTAAAAGCCTGCGCGAGGGGATGGACAGGAAGCAAGAACGAAACGGAGGAGGATGCGCTGGGAGATGGGGGGATGTTAGCGGTTGCCAGCTATCCTACCACCCTCCTACCAGCCTGCCTGCCGGAGGATCGCGCGAGAGAGCGGACCCCCCGCCGTCAAGGGATCCCATAAAATAGCTCCACTAACTTTTTTACTTTATCATCCAGCCAGTCCTCTCGCGAACCCTCTCCGTCGATATATACCTGCCGCTCCTATACCCCTGCGTATGCCACCTACCACCGATAACCACCATCACCACCACCACCACCACCACTGCCGCCGCCAAGAAACTTGGCAAAAAATTTGCATTTCATCGCGTATAATGCGAAAAGGAAAGGAAGAGAAATAGGTAAAATGAAATACGAATCAGCGGGGAAACACGAATTCTATCCTCGTTAGTCGGAAATTAACGACAAACGAATTTAGGAGGTGGATGAAATAACTTTTGATTCTTTTTCAAACGGAAAAAACGAAACGAAACGGGACGGAACGGGACGAGACGGGACGGGACGGGACGAGACGAAACGAAACGAAACGAATCGAAAAGGGAATAGCGGAAGAGAGAGGAGGATAAAGAAAAAAAAAAAAAGAGAAGAGCGAGGAGAGAAAAGGATAAATAGATGGATAGACAGGGAGTCGCGCATCCACAGGCAGAGCTTTCGTTCCCGCTACCCTCGAGGATGATTTTTCGAGAACGCACGACAGCAAACGAACCTCCGAGGAAATCTTCGTGCTCGACCCGGGCTATTTCCCTTTCCACGATGTAGACAGGACAGACAGGACGGATCTGCATTAACTATGGATTCACCTCATCCTCCTTATCCTTCCTTCGAGATTCTTTTTTGCGGTTTCTATCGTTTTTCCCCCTCCCCCCTTTTTTCTCACTCGCAACCGACCGTTTCCTTTTCCCCCCCCC